AAAACTGAAGGAGACAGAGACACAAAAAACCCTTCAAAAAAAATCAATGAATCTGGGAGCTGGCTTTTTAAAGAGATCAACAAAATAGATGGACTGCTAACCAGACTAATAAAGAAGAAAAGAGAGAAGAATTAAATAGACACAATAAAAAATGATAAAGGGGATAACACCACTGACCCCACAGAAATACAAACTACCCTCGGAAAATACTATAAACACCTCTACACAAATATACTAGAAAATCTAGAAGAAATGGATAAATTCCTAGACACATACACTCTCCCAAGACTAAACAAGGAAGAAGTCAAATCCCTGAATAGACCAATAACAAGTTCTGAAATTGAGGCAGTGATAGCCTACCAACCAAAAAAAGCCCAGGACCAGAAGGATTCACAGCTGAATTCTACCAAAGGTACAAAGAGGAGTTGGTACCATTCCTTCTGAAACTATTCCAAACAATAGAAAAAGAGGGATTCTTTTCTAACTCATTTTATGAGGCTAGCATCATCCTGATACCAAAACCCGACTGAGACACAACAAAAAAAGAAAATTTCAGGGCAATGTCCCTGATGAACATCAATGCGAAAATCCTCAGTAAGATACTGGCAGATCAAATCCAGCAGCACATCAAAAAGCTTATCCACCATGATCAAGTCAGCTTCATCCTTGGGATGCAAGGCTGGTTCAATATGCACAAATCAATAAACGTAATCCATCACATAAACAGAACCAGTGACAAAAACCATATGATTATCTTGATAGATGCAGAAAAGGCCTTTGATAAAATTCAGCATCCCCTTCATGCTAAAAACACTCAATAAACTAGGTATTAATGAAACATATCTCAAAATAATAAGAGCTATTTATGACAAACCCATAGCCAATATCATACTACATGGGCAAAAGCTAGAAGCATTCCCTTTGAAAACTAGCACAAGAGAAGGATGCCTTCTCTCACCATTCCTATTTGACATAGTATTGGAGGTTCTGGCCAGGGCCGTCAGGCAAGATTCAAAAATAATGAGTATTCAAATAGGAAGAGAGGAAGTCAAATTGTCTCTGTTTGCAGATGACATGATTGCATATTTAGAAAACCCCATTGGTATCAGCCCAAAATCTCTTTAAGCTGATAAGCAATTTCAGCAGTCTCAAAATACAAAATCAATGTGCAAAAATCACAAGCATTCCTATACACCAATAACAGACAGAGAGCCAAATCATGAGTGAACTCCCATTCAAAATTGCTACAAAGAGAATAAAATACCTAGGAAAACAACTTACAAGGGATAAGAAGGACCTCTTCAAAGAGAACTACAACCGCAGCTCAAGGAAATAAAAGGACGCAAACAAATGGAAAAATATTCTATGCTCATGGATAGGAAGAATCCATATTGTGAAAATAGCAATACTGCCCAAAGTACTTTATAGATTCAATGCTATTCCCGTCCAGCTACTACTGCCTTTCTTCACAGAATTAAAAAAAGCTACTTTAAATTTCATATGGAACCAAAAAGAGCCCATATAGCCAAACAATCCTAAGCAAAAAGAACAAAGCTGGAGGCATCACTCTACCTGACTTCAAACTATACAAGGCCACAGTAACCAAAACAGCATGGTACTGGTAACAAAACAGATATATAGACCAATGAACTGGAACAGAGGTCTCAGAAATAACACCACACATCTACAACCATCTGATCTTTGACAAACCTGACAGAAACCAGCAATGGGAAAAGGATTTCCTATTTAATAAATGGTGTTGGGTAAACTGGCTAGCCATATGCAGAAAACTGAAGATAGACCCCCTTCCTTATAAAAAAAAATTAACTCCAGATGGATTGAAGACTTAAATCTAAGACTAAAACCATAAAAACCCTAGAAGAAAACCTAGGCAATACCATTTAGGATATAGGCATGGGCAAAGACTTCATGACTAAAACACTAAAAGCAATGGCAATAAAAGCTAAAATTGATCTATCGGATCTAATTAAACTAAAGAGCTACTGCACAGAAAAAGAAACTATCATCAGAGTGAACAGGAAAACCTACAGAATGGGAGAAAATTTTTGCAATCTATCCATCTGACAACGGGCTAATATCCAGGATCTACAAAGAACTTAAACAAATTTACAATAAAAAACCAAACAAATCCATTAAAAAGTGTGTGAAGCATATGAACAGATACTTCTCAAAAGAAGACATTTATGTGGGCAACAAAAGTATGAACAAAAGCTCATTATTGCTGGTCATTAGAGAAATGCAAATTAAAACCACAATGAGAACCATCTCATGCCAGTTAGAATGGTGATCATTAAAAAGTGAGGAAACATGCTGGAGAGGATGTGGAGAAGTAGGAATGCTTTTACACTGTTGGTGGGAATTGTAAATTAGTTCAACCATTGTGGAAGACAGAGTGATGATTCCTCAAGAATCTAGAACCAGAAATACTATTTGACCCAGCAATCCCATTACTGGGTATATACTCAAAGGACTATAAATCATTCTGCTATAAAGACACATGTACACGTATGTTTACTGCAGCACTATTTACAATAGCAAAGACTTGGAACCAACCCAAATGCCCATCAATGATAGAATGGATAAAGAAAATATGGCACATATACACCATGGAATATACTATACAGCCATAAAAAAGAATGAGTTCATGTCCTTTGCAGGAACATGGATGAAGCTGGAAACCATCATTCTCAACAAACTAACACAGAAACATAAAACCAAACACTGCATGTTTCACTCATAAGTGTGAGTTGAACAATGAGAACACATGGACCTAGGGAGGGAAACGTCACACACACTGGGGCCTGTTGAGGGGTGGGAGACAATGGGAGGGAGAGCATTAGGTGAAATACCTAATGCAGATAATGGGTTGATGGGTGCAGCAAACCACCATAGCACATATATACCTATGTAACAAACCTGCACATTCTGCACATGTATCCCAGAACTTAAAAGTATAATAAAAAAAAATGTTTCTGGGAAAACTGGCTAGCCATATGAAGAAAATTGAAACTGGACCCCTTCCTTACACCTTATACAAAAATTAACTCAAGATGGATTAAAGATTTAAATGTAAAACCCAAAACTATAAAAACCGTGGGAAAAAAATCTAGGCAATACCACTCATTCGGGACATAGGCACAGGCAAAGATTTAATGATGAAAACATCAAAAGCACTTGCAACCAAAGCAAAAATTGACAAACAGCATCTAATTAAGTAAAGGGCTTCTGTTCAGCAAAAGAAACTATCATCAGAATCAACAGACAACCTACAGAATGGGAGAAAATTTTTGCTACCTATCCATCTGACAAAGGTCTAATATCCAGAATATACAAGGAACTTAAACAAATTTACAAGAAAAAAACAAGCAACCCTGTTAAAAAGTAGGCAAAACACATGAACAGACATTTCTCAAAAGAAGACATTTATGCAGCCAACAAACATAATGAAAGCTCAACTTCACTGATCATTAGAGAAATCCTAATCAAAACCACAATGAGATACCATCTCACACCAGTCAGACAGGTGATTGTCAAAAAGTCAAGAAACAACAGATGCTGGTGAGGCTGTGGAGAAATGGGAATGCTTCTTTGCATTGTTGGTGGCAATGTAAATTAGTTCAACCATTGTGGAAGACAGTGTGGTGATTCCCCAAAGACCTAGAGGCAGAAATACCATTTGACCCAGCAATCCCATTACTGGGTATATACCCCCAAAATATAAATCATTCTATTATAAAAATATATGCATATGTTTGTTCATTGCAGTACTATTCACAACAGCAAAGACATGGAATCAATCCAAATGCCCATCAGTGATAGACTGGATAAAGAAAATGTGGTACATATACACCATGGAATGCTATGCAGCCATAAAAAGGAATGAGATCATGTCCTTTGCAGGGACATGGATGGAGCTGGAAGCCATTGTCTTCACCAAACTAACACAGAAACAGAAAACCAAACACTGCACATTCTCACTTGTAAGTGGGAGCTGAGCAATGAGAATGCATGGACCCAGAGAGGGGAACAGTACACACTGGGACCTGTTGGGGGCTGGGGAAGGGAGAACATCAGGATAAATAGCTAATGCATGCTAGGCTTATCATCTGGGTGATGGGTTGATAGGTGCAGCAAAACACCATGGCACACGTTTACCTATGTAACAAACCTGTACCTCCTGCACATATATCCTGGATAGGTGCAGCAAAACACCATGGCACATGTTTACCTATGTAACAAACCTGTACTCCTGCAAATATATCCTGGAACTTAAAATAAAATAAAATAACATAAAACATAGCATGCACAGTTCCTGGTACACAGATGGTGAAGCTATCAGTAATAGATCAGAAATATAATTTAAACATGCTGAAGAGGATATTAAAATTTCTAATTATAAATTTAATTTACATTTTTGTAGGATAATTTTTTTTAAATTATAAAAAGGTATTTATTAGAAAATGCAAAAATTACAGATAATGTGATAAATTTGCCATTTATCATATATCTACTCTTTGTATCAAAATATAAAGAAACTGATCCATTTTAAAACTGATTCCAGGCACGGAAAAACAAACAAATCTTCCCATTAATTTTTTTTTTTTGGATAAATTTTGTAAAGATTTTTTTTCTTCTTCATCTTAATTATATGCTTTTGACTAATAGAATGTTAAGAACAATACAGATTGACAGCCAAAATGAGAATGCAGAGCATTTGAAATTTTACTATTTCAAGAAGATCAAGTCAAAGATTGGCATAGTGGAGCAAAAAGTTGATTTGGGGAATGGTTCAGAACTAATTAGTGAAAAAGTCTAAGATGATGCATTCTTAGATATAAGAGAGGGAAGAGAATAAATCAACAAAACAGAAGATGAAGCAGTTTCAATAAGGGTCTAGAACAAATTTAAAAAAGAGAGAAAAAGAAATAAATGTTAACATGAGGTAGTTATAGATCAATTACTTTAAGACTAATACATACCTCTGGAACTGAAGTTTCCATCAGAGACAGTGGAGGAGGAACACATCCACCATCCTGTGCAATTTCCACTGGTTGATAAATAACTTCAGAAGGTTGTAGGTATAAGAATGGAGCAGAAGAGGCAGGAGACTAAAATACAAAACCATATTTCTAATTCAAATATGATTAGTTATTTCTATTAAACCAAATGACTTACCCAACAGATGAGAGAAGTATCTGTTTTATATTTTCCTATTTTTTTTTTTTTTTAAGGAATAGCACATAAGTATCGCAGCAACAGATCAGGACCTAATCTGTTATAAATTCCAATTGAGTAGATGTAGTTAAAGAATCCTATCACTGGTAAGCACTAAAACTTCCTAATGACTCAGAACCTCATATATAAATTCAGATAATAATTATGATTATATTAGTATTACCAGTAAAGCTTGTAATAATGTGACCAATGGTATTTAAATTGACATAAACAGAGCTGCTCTCAGCTCTGTTACTTCTAATGGAAGTGGGAAAATGCCATTAAACAATTTTTTTGGTGATAAACTACTTGTTACCAAAGGTTGGAAAATAGAATACTTATTTAGGAACTGAATAAAAACTGAAGCCAAATCTGAAGTAAAGCTAGAAAAATTCTAAATTTTCAAATAACACTAATAGTGAAAAAGGGTAAATTTTCATGTTTATATAGCACTCATTTACAAAATGCTTTCACTTATGCATTATCATTTGATATTCACAAAAATCATGTAAGGAAACTTACAAAAATATGGTATCATTACATCCATTTTACAAATGAAGAAACTGAAAATGAACTGCTGAAAGAATCACAGTTAACAAATAGAAGAAGTCTCAAACGTAGTTCTCCTGACTTTAGTATTCATGCAGTCTTCACAAGAATATAATGAAAGAAGGATTTAAAATTAAAAGTTAACAGTTACCTGAGGAACACTCCACTGCCACTGTCCTGGTAAATACTGTGTAGTGGCCTAAAATGAAATAAAAGAAAACAAAAACTCACTCAGATTATAAACAAGCATAAAACTGGCTCTCTACAGGCAAAAATATGAAGTTAGATTCTCACGCCATACACAAAAATTAACTCAAGCCATATACAAAAATTAACTCAAAATGGATCAGAGACTTAAATGTAAGAGCAAAAATTATAAAACTCTTAGAAAAAAAACAGGTGTAAATGTCTGTGACCTTGAATTAGGAAATGTTTTAAAAATTATGACTCCAAAAGCACAAACAACAAAGCAACAAGAACAAAAAAATAGTTAAATTAGATTTCATCAAAACTCTAAAAAACTTTTGTGCAAGTGAAAATACAACCCACAGGATGAAAGAAAATATGGAACTTATATCAAGAATGCATAAAGAACTCTTACAGGGCCGGATGTGGTGGATCACGCCTGTAATCCCAGCACTTTGGGAGGCCAAGCCTGGCGGATCATGAGGTCAAGAGATCGAGACCATCCTGGCCAACATGGTGAAACCATGTCTCTACTAAAAATACACAAATTAGCTGGGTGTGGTGGTGTGCACCTGTAGTCTCAGCTACTCAGGAGGCTGAGGCAGGAGAATTGCTTGAACCCGGGAGGTGGAGGTTGCAGTGAGCCGAGATCGCGCCACTGCACTCCAGCCTGGCACCTGGCGACAGAGTGAGACTCTGTCTCAAAAAAAAAAAAGAAAGAAAAAAGAAAAAAGAAAGAACTCTTACAACTTAATAATCAAAAGACAAGTAATCCAGCTTAAAAACAGCCAAATGATATGAATAGACTTTTCTCCAAAGACGGTATATATATGGCCAATAAACACAAGAAATAATGCTCAACACCACTAGCCTTCAGAGAAATAAAAATAAAAACAATAATACAACACCACTTCATACCCACTAGGATGGCTTTAATCAAAAAAGTATATTTTAAGTGTTGATGGGTATGTGGAGAAATTAGAGCCCTCCAAATCTGCTGTTGGGAATGTAAAATGGTGCAGCCCTTTTGAAAATAGTCTGACATTTCTTTAAAAGGTTAAACATAGAGTTATCATATGACCCAGCAATTCCACTCTAGTTATAATACCTAATAAAAATAAAAATATGTGTCTACATAAAAATTTTTATGTGAATGTCCATGGCAGCATTATTTATAACAGTCAAAAGACGAAAACAACTCAAGTGTCCATCATCTGATGAATGTATAAACAAAATGTGGTATACAGTGCAGCCATATAATTGAATATTATTCAAGAATGAAGTACTGAGACATGCCATCACATAGATAAGTCTTCAAAACATTATGCTAAATGTAAGAAGCCAGTCACAAAAGACCTCATATTGCATGATTCATTTTATAGAATATATCCAGAATAGGCAAATCTAGAAAAACAGGTAAGTAGATGACTGGTTGCCTAGGGTTGGGATAAGGGGGAAAATAGGAGTATCTGCAACTATTCAGCTCATCCATTGTAGCAGAAAAGGAGCCACAGACAATAAGTAAACAAATGTGGCTGTGTTCCAATAATGCTTTATTTACAAAAACAGTCTGCTGGCTGGAGTTTGGTCTGCAAACCATAGTTCGATGACCTTGCTCTGGACCAAAATGGTTTGGCATTATAGTTCTCTTATCCCCAATTTCTTACTAGAATTGATGAAGAGTCCTGGTTAACTGAAAGAGGATGTCATAATATATTATTTACTTTAATATAAATTGAATATTATTTACTTTAATATAAATTATTTACTTTAATGTAAATTATGTGAAACACTGACATATGTTAACATTAAAAAACCAACTTGCATCCAATACCTATATCTTACTTGGGGAATTATTGCTAAAGACTTTTTAGATTAAATGTTAGTCAGGGGACCAAAACTGACCTCATTGTATTTGGTAAAAGAAAGCAAAGAGTCCATCTTCTTGTATGACATTGTTTAGTTCCGTTGTAAAAAAGAGAAGCATGATGTCAGCAATATGGCTGACCAGAGATGCCTGGCATTCATTTTCCACTGGCTCCCCACCTTGCCACAAGGAAGGACTAAGGCAACAAATAAACAGCTACAATTTGACAGGAGCATCAAAGGGAGAGTGCTGGAGGGCAGCAGGGGAGTGGAGAAACACTTGTGGTGACTGCAAATCCGGAAGCGCAGCCTGGAGCCACTCAGCCTCTGCAACCCCTTCTTTCCCCATAGGATTGGATCTACCTGGAGTTCTGCAATTTCTCATTGCAGGGAAAAGGTAAGCAGAAGATGCCCACCAGCCTGCATTGCTACTGCAGACATCTACACTCCTTGCAACAGGAGAATGCCACAGTCTCACAGTTTGGAGAGCTGCTGGGAATTTGTGGCTGCATTGCCCCAAATTAGGAGTACAAAGTGTGTACTCCTCACCCTCTCAACCCCACCCTGTGAGCCAAGCTGCTGCAGCATGATAGCATCTCGAGGCCATAGCCACCTCTGAAGTGCTCCCTCTTCTAGGGGGCCAGTAGCTATTGCACGTCTCCAGCACTGGGGTTCAATTTTCATTCTGTCAAGTGCATACCAGTGGCTGAACACAACCCCAGCAGCATGGAACCTGAGGCTCAAGATTGGCTGATTCTGGTTCTGTACCGTAGGGAAACCAACTTCTGTTGCCTTCACTTCCAGCTAGAGGGACAATCTGGCTGTCTTGCCCAGGGTGAATCCACTCTTGAGCTGGTCCAACTGCTGCAACCCCTTGAGCAAAAGAGGTCCTCAATCCTCGTAGCAGTTGAATAGTTACACATCTGCATACAGGGCTGAGAAACCACCCAGAGGTGCCTCATGTTCTGCAGATAAGCCTCTGATCTGCTCTGTGTATGGAATTAGAGCCCAAGAAATAGCTCTGGAAACTTCCCCTGGCAGAAATGTCCCCAGGAGAGTGGGAATGGCTGTGTCCATGCTTCAGGCCTAAGAAATGGCCTCATGCCCACCCCTCCAGAAGACACATCCCTAGGACAGCTGAGCAGCCTTGAGCCTGTGTCCCAGGCCTGAGAAGCAGCCCCATAGTCCACTTTCAGTGGGCACGATCCCAGGCCGACCAAGTAGCCCTGTGCTTGTATCCTGGGCCTATGGAACAGCCCTCACAGAAACATTTCCAGGCCAGGTGATCCACCCTGTGCCTATGTCCCAGACTTGAGAAATAGCCCCATGGGCCACCCCCAGCCGACATGCCCCTTGGCCAGGTGAGCAGTTGTGCACCTGCATCCCAAGCTGGAGAAATAGCCCCTGACAAACATATCCTTGGCCAACTAAATGGCCATGCAGCTGTGTTGCAGGCCTGAGAAACAGTCCCATGGGTTGCCCCCAGCAGACACACCCCCAGACCAGTCAAGGAGCCATATGCCTACATACCTGACCTGAGAAACAGTCCCACAGACTACCCCAGGCACTACCCCAGGCTGGCTGAGAAATTACATGCCTGTGCTCTCAGCCAGAGTAACAGCCTTGTGGCCCCAAGCCCAGTGAGCCAGACTTACCATGATCATGTACACAACCCTGACCTGAGCAACAGCCCAGCAAGCCCACCCCTGGCAAAGCCCCACCACCATTGTCACAGACTTTCTTGTCCTAGATCACTGAGAAACCTCCAAACACAACCAGAGAGGATTACAGCTTGAGACTACACAGAGACTACACTAGTGTGTCCACCTAGAACCAAGGGCAATGCATCCCACTGAACTAACACTCCAAGACGCATTCATGGAAATATGTCTTCCCCTATGAAACCTACTCCAAATTTGAAAAGGTGACTTTCATACCAGATGTGTAGAAATCAATGTAGGGACACATCAACCATCAAGGAAACATGTCACCTCTAATGAAAACAATAATTCCTATTAACAGACCCCAATCATACAGAAATATTTATATGTATTTCATAATGCCAGAAAAAGAATTCAGAATAATAATCTGAAGGAAATTCAGTGAGATACAAGAGAATACAGATAAGACAATTCAACAAAATCAGGAAAACAACTCATAATTTGAATGAGAAATTTAACAAAGAGATATAAACAAACAAACAAACAGATATCCTAGAGCTGAAGAAATCAATGAATGAAATAAAAATACAACCGATAATTTCAACAACACACTAGACTAAGAAGAAGAAAGAATTTCTGAACTTGAAGGCAGATCTTTTGAAATAACACAGGCAGAAAAGAAAAAATGAAGAATGAAGAAAACCTACAGGATTTATAAAATACCACGAAGAGGATAAATATTGATTCATATAATGGGCATTCCAGAAAAAAAAGAGAAGGCAAAAGGTGAGGAAAACACGTTTGATGAAATAATAATGTTTATTTTTTCATTTTAAAAAGAAGAATTTTAAAAGCAGCAAGAAAAAAGTGTCAAGTCACAATTAAAGAAATGCCTGTTATACTAACAGCAGATTTCTTAGCAGAAGTCTTACAGGCCAGGGGGAATGGGATGATATATTCAAAAAACCCAAGAAAAAAACCTCCCAGCCAAGAATATTGTACTCAGTAAAGCTATCCTTCAGAATTGAAGGAGAAATAAAGTCTTTCACAAGTCCAGGTGTAGTGGCTCACACCTGTAGTCCCAGTGCTTTGGGAGACTGAGGCAGGAAGATGCTTGAGCCCAGGAATTTGAGACCAGCCTGGGCAACATAGCAAGACCCTATCTCTTAAAAAAAATTAGCCAGCATGGCACATGCCTGCAGTCTCAGCTATGTGGCAGGCTAAGGTGGGAGGAATTTCTTGAGCTCAAAAGTTTGATGTTGCAGTGAGCTATGAGCATGCCACTATACTCCATCTCTAAAAAACCTAGCTCTTTCATAGACAAGCAAAAACTGAAGAGAATTTATCACCACAAGATTGGCCTTATAAGAAAATACTCAAGGGAGTCTTACATCGGGAAGTGAAAAGGTGATAACCACCATCATGAAACATGCAAAACTATAAAATTCACTGGGAGAGCCACTACACAAAGGACAAAGAGAAAAGAATAAAATCTTATTACTACAGAGAAACCAGCTGCCAAAAATCACCAATAAGAGAAAGAATAAGAAACAAAAGATATGCAAAAAAACCAGAAAACAATAAAAAAAATGACAGGAGTAAGTCCTCACCAATCACTAATAATCCCGAATGCAAATGGGTTAAATTCTCCATTTAAAAGACAGACATTGGCTGAATAGATAAAAAAGAGAGACCCAATTATATGCTGCCTAAAAGAAACTCACCTTAACTGTAAAGACACACATAGACTGAAAGTGAAGGGATGGAAAAACATGTTCCATGCAAATGGAAACCAAAGCGGGCAGGAGTAGCTATACTTATATCAAACAAAACTAACTTCAAGTTAAAAGTTTTAGAAAGAGGCAAAGAAGACCATTTAATAAAGGGATCAATTTAGCAAGAAAATATAACAATTGTAAATATATATGCACCCAACACCAAAGCACCCAGATAATATAATGCAAGTCTTATTTGACCTAAAGAGAGAGGGAGAGACCCCAATAAAATAGTAGTTGGGGACTTCAATATGCCACTCTCAGCACTGTATAGATCACATAGAAAGAAAATAAACAGGTTGGACACTGTGGCTCATGCCTATAATCCCAGCATTTTGGGAGGCTGAGGCTGAGGTGGGTATGTCACAAGTTCAGGAGTTTCAGATTAGCCTGACCAACATGGTGAAAACCCATCTCTACTAAAAATACAAAAATTAGCCAGGCATGGTGGTGTGTGCCTGTAATCCTAGCTACTGAGGAGGCTGAGGCAGGAGAATCGCTCGAACTCAGGAGGTGGAGGTTGCAGTGAGCCTATATCACAACATTGCACTCCAGCCGGGGTGACAGAGTGACACTCCATCTCAAAAAAACAAAAAACAAAAACCCCCACAAAAACAGAAAATAAACAAAGAAACTTGGATTTAAATTGCACCATAGGCCAAACAGACCTAACAGCCATTTAGAGAACATTGAACTGAACAGCTGCAAAATATCATCAGCACATGAAACATTCTCCAGAATGACAACATTTTAGGAAACAAAACAAATCTCAAGAAATTAAAAAAACTGAAATCATATCAAGTACCTTAACTGACCAAAATGAAATAAAACAAGACAAGATATCAATAGCAAGAAAAACTATACCAAGCTATGGAAATTAAGCAACATACTCCTGAATGACCAGTGGGTGAAGGAAGAAATTAAGAATGAAAATAGAAACATAACATACCAAAACCTATGGGACACAACAATAGCAGTATTAAGGCAAATTTATAGCAATGAATGCTTACATCAAAAAAACTAGAAATATTTCAAACACCCTTACAATGTACCTCTAGGAACTAGAAAAGCAAGAACAAGCAAAACCCAAAATTAGTAGAAGAAAAGAAATATTAACAATCAGAGCAGAAATAAATAATGTTGAGACTACAAAACAATACAAAATATTAATAAAACAAAAGGTTGATTTTTAAAAGGAAAAACAAAACAGACAAACCATTAGCTAGGCTTAGAAAAAAAGAAAGAAGACTCAAATAAATAAAATCAGCAATGAAAAAGACATCACAATGGATACCACAGAAATACAAAGGATCATTAGAGACTACTATGAACAACTACATGCTAATAAATTAGAAAACCTAGAAGAAACAGATAAACTCCTGAACATACACAACCTACCAAGATTGAACCAAGAAGAAATTGAAAACCTTAAGAAACAAATAACAAGTAACAAAATTGAATCAGTAATTACAATGTCTTCCAACAAAGGAAAGTCCAGAACTACATGGCTGAATTCTACCAAACCTTTAGATAAGAATACCAGGTCTTCACAAACTATTACAAAAAATTGAAGCAGAGGGAATTCTCCCTAATTCATTCCATTAGTTTGATTATATTAAACTAAAAATTTCCTGCACAGTGAAGAAAACAATCAACAGAGTGAAGAGATATCATGTTGAATGGGAGAAAACATCTGTAAACTACTTATCTGACACAGAATTAATATCCAAAATATACGAGGAACTGAGACATCTCAACAGCAAAACAAATAAACGAAAAATAAACATTAAAAATGGGCAAATGATCTGAACAGACATTTCACAAAAGACAAGAAATGGTTAACAAATATATGAAAAAATGCCCAACATCACTAATTATCAGGAAACTAAATCAAAACCACAAAGAGGTATTTTCTCATCTCAGTTAGGATGGTTATTTCAAAAAGACAAAAATAATAAATGCTGGTGAGGATGTAGAGAAAAGGGAACTCTTTCACCCTGTTAGTGGGAATGCAAATTAGTACAACCACTATTGAGAATAGTATGGAGGTCCCTGAAAAACTACAAATAGAACTAGCATATGATCCGGTAATCCCACTACTGGGAATGTATTTGGAAAAAAGGAAATCGTTGTATCAGAGATACATCAGCACCCCCATGTTTATTACAGCATTATTCACAATAGCCAAGATATGGAATCAACATAGGTGTCCAACAACAGACGAATAAAGAAAATGTGGTGTATATATATATATGTGATGGAATACTATTTGGTTATGAAAAAGAATAAAATCCTATCACTCATGGCAACATGGATGGAACTGGAGGTCATTATGTTAAGTGAAATAAGCCAGGAACAGAAAGTTAAACACCACATGTTCTCACTCATATGTGGAAACTAAAAAACACTGATCTCAAAAATCTGCCACCTGCACAGATATCTACAAAAAAGAAAAGGTTTCTTTTTTCCCCCCTTTCTTGTAATAAATGATAAGTTTCCAAGTCTTTTTCACTGCTGTTTGAGCCATGTTTAGAAGAGAATAGCTTGTCCTCTGCTGTATTCCTGTTTTTGCATATGCTGCATTGAGACTTAAGTATGGCAAGAAGGCATTTTTGTTGTTGTTGTTCTTAAAGGAAACAAACTCTCAAATAATGAAGTGATGCAAAAGCTGCATATGCTTGCAAAGCTCTGAATTCAGGTCCCATTGCTGTCACAAAGAAATGAATGTAACTCCCACCCTAATCCCTTTTTTATGTAATAAAACTGCCTTAGCATTTTTATTTTTTATGGGTTGCAACTGTCATCAATGCAGTAAGCTGCTTTACAGATGTTTTCCTCTGAGCATCACAATAAACAGTACCGTGTGCTATTAAATAAAAAAGTTTATCTCATAGAAGTAAAAAGAATACTAGGGACTGAGAAGGATAGAGGGAAAGGAAAAATAGGGAGAGGTTTGTGAAAGGATACAAAATTACAGCTACCTCAGGAATGGAAAACCAAACATTCTATATTCTCAGTTATTAGTGGGAGTTAAGCTATGAGGATACAAAGGCATAAGAATGATACAATGGACTTTGGGGACTTAGGGGGAAGGGGTGGGAAGGGGGTGAGAGATGAAAGACTACAAATTGTGTTCAGTGTATACTGCAAGGGTGATGGGTGCACCAAAATCTCACAAATCACTGCTAAAGAACCGAATCCCCACAAACCTATGGAAATAAAAATAAAAAAACACAAAGAAAACCCCCACAAAAAAGTCCCCAAATTACAGCTAGATAGGAGGAATAAGTTCTAGTGTTCTATACCACTATAGGATGATTATAGTTAACAATAATACATAGTTTCAAACAGCTAGAAGGAGGCTACTGAATTTTCCCAACGCAAAGAAATGATAAATGAACATGTGGTATTTGTTTTTCTGTTCCTCTGTTAGTTTGCTAAGGGTAGCCTCCAGCTCCATCCATGTCCCTGCAAAAGATATGATCTAATTCTTTTTTATGGCTGCATAGTATTTCTTGGTGTATATGTACCACATTTTCTTTATTCATCTGTCATTGATGGGCATTTAGGTTGATTCCATGTCTTTGCTATTGTGAATAGTGCTGCAATGAACATTTGCATGCATGTGTCTTTATGGTAGAATGATTTATATTCCTTTGGGTATATACCCAGTAATGGGTCGAGTGGTAGTTCTGCTTTTAGTTCTTTGAGGAATCTCCATACTGCCTTCCACAATGGTTGAGCTAATTTACATTCCAATCATCAGTGTATAAATGTTCCTGTTTTCTGTAAACTCACCAGCATCTGTTATTTCTTGACTTTTTAATAATAGCCATTCTGACTGGTGTGAGATGGTATCTCATGGTGGTTTTGATTCACATTTCTTTAATGAGCTATCTCCTTGTAATTAGTAGAATTGTTGCATGAGAAATAAATGAAAGTTACCTAAGAAAGGACTGAAAGTTTCAGAGAGAATTTTAATTGTAATTTGTGTTTACCTGGTAGTGATATGCAGGTTGCTGATAAATGGGCTGAGCTACCATCACAGGGGAGCTAGATATAGAACGTGACTATAAGAGGATGGAAAAATAGAAAAATTAGGCAGAAGCCTTTAAAATAGCTCACAATAAAATTAATCTCAAATTATTACCTAAACCCAGTCAACTTCTGGTTTATGATTAGAAATGTTATTTTTCTACCTCTTATTGATATTACCAACTCTGCTAAGTCTCTTTATTAAAATCATCACAGTATCCTTACTTCCATGTAGTTTAATTTCCATAGTAATGCTAAAATAACCATCAGAAAAGTTTCTTTTCCAACTTTTTCCTCCAAAGATTATGAAAATATAGTTCTAAGAGAACACTTAGAAGAAAATGACAGCAACACTTAGGCTGACACTGCCTGTTTCCATTGTGGGGACCAGCAGTAAACAGTTAATGTTTATAATATTATTTAGAACTGAATGAATAGCCGTAACTAATTTTCCCACTAGTTACAAATAATCAATGTTCTATTCCTTTGTTATATATGTAATTAAAGCAAAGATATTTATTTTTATTTTAGTAATTTGACATTTAAATGAATTAATAGGTTGATAAATTAATAAGTGAAAAATCTAAGTCTGAAAACAGTACAGGTAACACTTGATTATTCAAAGTGATCTTTCACTTTTTGGGTTTACTCTTTTAAGCCCCAAAACAGATTACTTAAAACCAGATCATTAATCAAATAGGCAAGTTGTGTTGCAAGATAGTAAAACTGGCTCTAATACAGCAATTAAAATTCAGTCTCTAATGTGGTGGGATCTAGCTTGTATTGTTTTAAGGTTCAGACCCTGAAAACTGAAGAAAAGTATCATAGTTTTGTACAATTCACATACTATGGTATGCTAATAAAACTGTATCACAGATTAATATTAGAAAATAATAATGAAATTTGCTATATTAATAGATTAAAGGAGAAAAATTATAATTTCAGCAGAGACAGAAAATGTATTTGTTAAAATTCCATACCTTTTTGTGATTAAAAACTCTTAACAAATAGTAGAAAGTAGCTTCCTTAATTTATTTAGGGCAGTAACTCTCAAGCATGAATGATTTTGTCCTCTAGGGACCATCTAGCAATGTTGGGGGACATTTTTGATTGTCATAACTATGAGGAGCCTAGGGACACTTCTAAACACCCTACAGTGCACAGGACAGTTCCTCAACCAAGAAATCATCTGGCTCAAAATGTCAACAGCACTAAGATTGAGAAATTCTGGTTAAGAGTATCTTCCAAAACCTACAAAGTATGTGTGTGTGTGTGTGTGTGTGTCTCTCTCTGTTTGTGTGTGTATACATATATATATATATACATATATATATGTGCATATGTATGTATTTATATGTATATATACATAGATTTTTCACTTATAAATTTATCATATGTATGTATATGTATATGCACACATGTAAAGCTTAATGGTGAATCACTGAACTTGCTTCCTTTTTGAAGAACAAGGTCATGATGTTTTCACTCTATCAATACTGTAGCAGAGACACCATCAGTGCAAAAACTCTGGGAAAAACAGAAGTGAAAGGATTAGAAGTATACCGAATCATAAATAATTGTGTAAATGAGAGTTTGGCAGGGTTGCTGATACAATATCAATATTGAAAAATCAAGAGCACTGCTATACATCAGCTATAATCTATTAGAAAACATGATTTAAAAAACAGCTTTCATGAAAGCAACAAAACTATAGTGCACTAAGAATAAATTCAACAAAAGATGTGTCAAGCTTTTTTATGGAGAAATAAAACTTTTTTTATGGATAGAAGTGAAAGAAGACAAATAAATGGAGAAATGTATCATGTTCAGGGATATAAAGAGTCAATATTTTAAAATACTGAAATGTTCCAAGTTATCCACACTATTTAATATAATTCTAATAAAAAAAAACAAGGGCTTTTCACAGAACTAAACAAGCTGAATTATAAAATGTATACTTATAAAAGCAAAGACATAAGGATAGATGAGAGAATCCTGAAGAAGAACAAAGTCCTTTAAGATTTCAAGACTCATTATAAAGTCAAAATAATTAGAATTGGGCAAGGGAAACAAATATACCAATGGAACAAAATAGGGAGCAGAAAAAAAGACCCATACTCATGGGAACTTAGTATTTGGCAGAGGATTAATTTCAAAATAGTAGGAAACAGATGGATTAGTTAATACATAAATTCAAGATTTAAGATCTGGCAGTGAAAAGTGGCAATAATATAGAATTAAAAATAAAAAATAGAATAGCTATATTCTTGTAGTAAAAAATAAAAACAAAAAAGAAGATAAAAATCTTGTAACAAAGAGCAAAAAAACAATAATTTTTTTATGAGAAAAAGAGTAAAAAGAGTTAATGGACAAGCCACAAACTGGAAGAAGATATTGACAACCCACAAAATTCATGTAATAAACTCAAGATTAAAAACAAATCACCCCAATAGAAAAATGGACAATGGATATGAACAGGCAGCTCACAGAAGAAAGTGGAATGACCATAAATATACGAAAATATATTCAATATTACTAGAAGTTAGACAAATAAAAATAAAATACCACTGCATAAAATAATATTGGTATAAATGTAAAAATCTGGTAATTTTAAGGGTTGGCAGCTTATGGAAAAATTGGGGCTGTCATAAACTGTTGGCTAGGATTTCAAATATCTTTCAAAAACTATTTGGCAACATCTAGTCGAAATGTGCACACTTCATGAATGTGAAATTCTATGTATATATCCTTGCCTAGACCAAGGTACATTAGGGAAGCACAAAATTTTCCAGTAATACATGGACATGAATAACTTTAAGAGTACCAATTTTCAGATTCTAAACTTCATATGTACTCCTTTCTGATGTGATCCACCCGTGACTGTGTCTGTGTAACATAGATTCTTCTTTTAAAAACTCCACCTTCAGCATCACTCTTTTGCTTCCCTAAAGAAAGGCATATTTCTCACTTCTTCTGGATCTTGCTATAATGTTATTATATAATAACAACAGGGCATCAAACAGACACACAACTCAAGAGGGCAATGCCCTGAGAAATGAGAGAAGGCAAAGCAGAAAGAGCTTGCATAAGAAATATGAAGGGAGAGATAATACTATTTTATCTAGGGAACAAACTTAAATTAGCTGAAGGTCACATGGAACATATTAGTTCATTTATTTTAGTTTAAAAATAAAGTTGGAATTTTCTAATAGAAAGTTTTATTCAGTAGTTTTATTTGGTTGACTGGTTTTGTTAACTGAGTTATAGAGCAGATACTTTCCACTATTAAAATAAGCTAAATTTACAGATACAAAATTTTGATGAAAATATATAAATCTATAATATACAATACTCCTAAACTATTTAAACTACAATAAATTCCAGATAGCAACTTTAAACATGAGTGAGTGTACTCATATTATTTCAAAAAATTTAGAGAAATTTATATAAGAGAATTTATATAATAAGCAAACCTTAGAAAATCACTGCTCTAGGCCGGGCGCAGTGGCTCACGCCTGTAATCCCAGTACTTTGGGAGGCCAAGGCGGGTGGATCACGAGGTCAAGAGATCGAGACCATCCTGGTCAACATGGTGAAACCCCGTCTCTACTAAAAATACAAAAAATCAGCTGGGCATGGTGGCACATGCCTGTAATCCCAGCTACTCAGGAGGCTGAGGCAGGAGAATTGCCTGAACCCAGGAGGCGGAGGTTGCGGTGAGCCGAGATGGCGCCATTGCACTCCAGCCTGGGTAACAAGAGTGAAACTCCGTCTCAAAAAAAAAAAAAAAAAAAAAAAAAGAAAATCACTGCTCTAGAAAAACTCTCACATAATACATATAAGATCTGGATATTCAATGTAGCCTTGTTTGTAGAAAAAACTTAAAATGTCCATCAATAGAGGAATATAAAAAATTGTAATCCACTCATACAACGGAATGTTATAAAATATTTAAAAAGGTGAATTAGATATATAAGGATCAATATGACATAATCTAAAAAGAGATAAACATGGTTTGATCTAAAAAATATAATGCCGAGTATAAAAACCAGATTATTTGTACAATATTTGAAAACCACCAAAGCAATACTATATGTCATTTATGAATACATATATTTGTAGTAAAAATATCTAAAATGAATAGGAAAGATATTCTGCTTACTTCTGAAGAGGGAAAGAGGGTAAGGAGGTGGGGATAAGGAGAACTGGCCTGAAGCTGTCTTACTTTACTTCCCATTTTAAGAACTTGAGTAAATATGGCAAAATGTTGATGTCTATTAAATTTGGTTTGTAGAGATGTGTGTTATATTATTATATGTAATAATCTATTGTTGAAATATTTCAGAAATAAAGCAAACATTAAAAAATTGATAGTAATAGATGGAAATCCTTTTTAAATGAAATTACTTACAGGCCAAGGTGGTGGGACAGAAGTTACCTCTGGAGTATGAAAATAAGCAACACCATTATGATAAGTATAAGGATATCCAGTTGAAGTTGTTAGATACATTGTTCCAGCTGCTGGCATTATACTAGAACCTAAAGCAAAGATTAAATAATAATAATTGAAATGTTCAATTTAACTGTTAAAACTGTAGTTTCTAAACCCTCCATAAAAATATTATCTTAATAAACCTATGTGGCTATAGTAAAAATTGGATGACACAGGTATTTAAAAAAAATTCCTTATGTCAAAGTATCTTTGAAGCATGTATTTTTAAACTCAATACTTTAAAGCTTTTTGTTTAAGGTGATTAAAAGAAAAGATAAATAATAGTAACAAATACTAAAATTTATCAGTTCAGATTCCAACACCAGAATAATGTTACAAAAAGCTTAACAATTTAGATTATCATCAGCAAAGTAATTATTTGTATAAACATAAATTATGCATAATTTAAAGTTACTTGAAGACTACATACACTGTACTCAAGTTTCTAAGGTTTGGCTAGACCTTTTATTTCTGAAAGTCCAAAGATAATGGAGGCAGTAAAGTTGGAGAAGATTCTACTTTCCTGAAGGCATTTTGGTTCCACCTTACTAATTCTTTGGCTATCCTACCAGCAAACATTCATTCATGCTATGGCTGTCTTTTATCTCTCTTTTCTATGATCTATTTTTTATCTACTCTCCTGCTGCGACAACTGCTGCTGTTGCAAACATGACTGCAAGTCTTCATGTGGCTAGTCTGGGGTCCTCATCTGTTTTTCCAGGCCAAGTTATATAACCACCTCCACCAAACCAAAAAACAATAAATAATATACATATATATTTTTTGTCATGGAGGAGACTTTAAAACTTAAATTAGTCAAATTAGATTAGGGTCTTAACCAGCAAGGTTATATAAATTGGTGAAACTGACAATGCTTCTTCCACCAGTGCTTCTCAAAATTTAACATAAATTAGAATCACCTACATTGTTTATTAAAATACAAATTCCAGGGATTTATCTTAAGAGATTTGGAATCAGTAAATCTGGGACAGGGCCTAAGAATTTGCATTTTGACAGCTTCCAATGAACTGACACTGTCTGCAAACCACATGTTAAATAGCACCAGCCTACCATGTTAAGTAATACTATTGCTCCTCAGCTTTTATATTTTCACTGTATGTGATCTAGTATTGTTATTATTTTAGTGGTTCTTAATTAGATCCTTTCGAGAATTCGATGAAAGCCAGGGACCTTTTCCTCAGATATATATACAAACACAATTTTACACACAATTCAGGAGGTCCATGGATTCCCCCCAAAAGATAATCAATGAACCGTGCTTTACCTGCTAAATAAATAAATAAATTTTCAGTGCATACTATTTCAAGGCATTGAACTGGGCCCTAGTGATACAGCAAAAAATTTAAAAAATTAGACATGGCATGGGTCTGTATCCTCAAAGAAGTTACAACTAATGACTAAAGACAGTCATTAGTTGATCACACAATTAATTAAATACAATTTTGATAAATACATGAGAAGGCAGTATAAAGTACAATACTGAACATTTTAATTATTACACGTATAAAACCTATGTGAAATCTCTCTCTATATACATATATATGGAACGTTTGTGATAAAATGATGTTTCAGCTAAGCTCTAAAGAATTAATAGGATGGCAAAGAATATTCTAGATAAAGAAAACAGAATATTAGATTCTGAGAACAGGAATATAGTATGTTCTGGAACTGAAAGAAGGCTAGATGGCTAAAGCATGGAAAGAAAAGGGAACAATACCTCAAAATAAGCTGAATATAAAACAATTAGAGGTGTACTTTTGAAAGATCACTCTGGCTGCCTTGTGAACAATGGATTGGAATGTAGATGGATTGGATTTAGAGAGACCACTTAGGATGGTTTTCCAGGAATTAAGGTAAGCAAAGTGGTTGGCTGGGACTCTGGTGTTGGTAATGGAGATGGAAAGAAATGACAGATGTAAGAAAAAACTAAGATAAGAATCCCTTATTTGTAAATGTACTTTTAATACCTATTTTTCTTTGGAGAAAAGTCAAAAGAACTTTGGAGTTAAACAGTCCTGCATTTGAAGGCTAATGCTACCACTCACCATTAGGCTATTTAACCCCATACTTCTCCTAGTTGGATAAGGGATGGATGGCAAACCAGGAGATATGAAAAAGCAGAGGCTGAACATAGCAATCTTCCTAGAGAATAAGTTTTATTCAGCTGTTTTTGGAAAACATTTTTGTATTCAAATAAACATTTGTATTCAAATAAACAATATGATATTATGGAAAAGAATGTAAATTATACATGATTTTTTAAATAAACCATGAGAAAATTTGCAATTCTAGTATGCTACAGCGGGTTAGGAACCACAACATGCCAAGATTAACTCTCCTTTAGCTTCAGGAATACTTCAGCAGAAACATTTTTAAAACAATGATTTTACCTTTTTGAGACTGAATTTTCTATTTACAAAAATAGAGATAATAATACTTCATGGGTTTCTATGAAGATTAAATGAAATAAATGAAAACTAATAACATTGACCCTTGCACTAAATAGTTTTTTAAAAAACTATTTGTATATTTGAAAGCATTCAGAATAGTGCTGATTTATTTTCTATTTCAGCAACTGGTGGATCATACTATGAACATTTCTATTTAGTGGTGATTGCTGGTGATAATGGGCTAAAGGACCATTACTGTATGTTCTAGCTTAACCTTTGCAAGTAACAACAGTAGTCTGAAAATATTCAGCATTCTGCCATATTTAGTGCATTTCATTTTATAATAACCTACTGGAGATACTTTGATTGTCTCTTAAATTAACAAATACTAAGTCAAAATTAAACTTGACATATGTTAATCTCTTTTGTTGTAGTTGTGGCAATGTTTTAAACATCCCCGTAGACGCTAGGATTTGGCTAAGGGAAAATAATTTAGTTACTAATTTTACATCACATTTCTCCTTCTAGCCAAACAGTGTTAGGGATTTTAATAAATATTAAAGGTAAAAAGTTAATAAATAGAGTGAGGAAAAAATAATAGAATTGAAAGCATTAGAGAAATTTGAGGAAGGTAGATACATAATTTAGCTAATTCCTAAAGCTCTAAGATTGTCCCCCCTGAAATTATGACACATCTGGCTGGGTTACTGTATGTAGCATGCATTGAGTTTCTGATATTAGTTCTATGTTTTCACTTTCAATGTGTTTACTCTGATTAATTTTAAATTACTCTCTAATTAAAATTTTTCTTATTAGTAAGTCTAAATTATTAAATTACTTCTAATTACTTTTGCTATTTTAAATGATATTTTCATCACAAAAGATTTTTCCTTTAATGATGTAACTACATGGAATATACTTAAGCATCATTGTGTATATACATTTTTTCCCCAGCCAAAAAAACTGAGATATATTATTTTGTGGCAAAAAATATTCATTTGACCACCAACTTTGCTAAAATAACTTTATTAAATGAAAGAAACATGATTTTAAATAAAGTTCTATAAAAACTCTAATATTTCAAAAAAGAACCATGCAAAAATATTTAAAAATACATTAGGTCTCAATACATACGGGAGATCCCTACTTGTTGTTTCCTTATTGCTGGACCAATATTCAGCTTCTTATCCTTATAATTAAGTTTTTCAGCCTAAAATAAAGAAAAAAGAAATTATTTTATTTTAGCTCTATTATTTATAAAATCAATAAGGAAAAACTAGTTAGAAAGAATTTCAAAAATTCAGACTATAACATTCTTTGAAAGCAGGAAGGAATAGTGGGAAAGAGCAGTCTTCAGGTTGAAATAGATCTGGGTCTGACTGCAAATCCCTATTTGTAATACAGTCAATCCTCATTAGTCATGGATTCTGTATTTGTAAATTTGCCTGTTTGCTAAAATTTATTTGTAACCCTAAAATTAATATTTGTGGCAATTTTGAGGTTATTAGTGGACATGTGCAGAGTGGTGGAAAATTTGAGTAGCCTGACGCACATGCTGTCAGCTGAGGTCAAATAAGGTGATGCTCTTTCTTCCTGTTCCAGTGCTCATACTCTAAGAAAGAGCTATTTAGTGCCACGTTTTCTCGATTTTTGTGCTTTTTGTTGGTGATTTTGCTATTTAAAATGGCCCCCATGTGTGGTACTGAAGTGCTGGCTAGCACAAGAAGACTGTCATAGGCCTTATGAGAAGATATATATTAGATGTGCTTAATTCAAGCATGAATTATAGTGCTATTGGCCATGAGTTCAATGTTAATGAGCCATTAATCTATTATATATGATGCCTTTAAATGGAAAAACACATGAAACAAGGTCATATATTGATTGGTTGACAGCAATATTGTGACCAGAGATTCTTGGGAACCTTACCCTGTATTTCTCCTAGAAAGAGTAGTTCAGTATTTGCTAATTCAGTGTTCCTAGTAATGTTACAGAATAGAACATAACTGCCACAAATAATAAGAATTGACTGCGTATGATTCAAATTCAAATTCTACTTTTTTTCTAAAAAAGTTAAATGCTTTAACTTAAAGTTAAAACATTTGCCTTAACTTAAAGATATTACAGTGAATTACTGGCTATAGAGATTTTTCTGTGAATATTCTTAGTTTATATAAAATTTTTCACAGGAGAGAAATCATTTCAGATCACCTCACTTTGGGATTCATGTTTGTAGTGTTTTTTAAACATTCAAAATGCTATTAACACTTGGCAAAAGACATATTCCCAAGTTCTTAGTTAAATAAATAAAGTGAAACATTATATTACAATTTCACAACCATACTTGCAATAATTTTGGAATTTGCTCTTCTGCAGAAAAAGTTTCCTAGAGACCAATGCCAATGTTAAGATGCAATTTTTTTTTTAAAAAAGCAAGTGATTATTGTATTTGAACCATGAAAAGATTAGTTTCAAATAAAAAAGTTCCAGAAATAAAGTTAAATACAACAAAAGATCATACCTCTTGTAAAATTTTTTGTGCATCTTCTTGTGTTTCAAAAGTAATGAAACCATACCTAAATAACAAGGATTATTAATTAATGATTAATTAATCATTTTCTTGGAATATTATCATATCAAAATTTTTTAAAATTTTGTTTTTAAATAGTGGGCCACTGTTGGAGTAAGCAACTTTCTATGCTGCCCCAGTGTGGGAATTTTAGAAGGATCATTCACAGCTTAACACTGTTACCTCCTCTTAGAGTCAGGGAACTAAAAGGAAAAAAAAAACCCTGAGATCTTGAAACAGCTTCAGCTCTCAACTGTGTGTAAGGAAGAAAAGCACAAGAGATTCATGCTGTGGCTTAAAAACTGGGATGCAATAAATTTCAATCCAGAGCAATAATCTACTTTTAAGCTAACAGAAGTTTGGCTAAGAGAAATCAAAGTAGAAAAATAACTTAAAAAAATTAAAAATTTCAACATAATAAAATTTCTTATATTGGTAAATGACTGTAAATGTATTAATTACCATTATTAACACATATAGTTGATAATGTAATTATTAGTATATTTTCCAGACAATATCAATTAAAAATACATAAAACCCAGATTTCATGCTTTTCCTTTTTTCTTTATTTTTTATTTTTTGAGACAGGTCTTGCTCTGTTGCCCCGGATGGAGAGCAGTGGCACAATCTTGGCTCACTGGAACCTCTGCCTCCTGGGTTCAAGTGATTCTCCTGCCTCAGCCTCCTGAGTAGCTGGGACTACAGGCGCATGCCACCACACTTGGCAATTTTTTTGTATTTTTGTTAGAGACGTGATTTCATTATGTTAGTCAGGATGGTCTCGATCTCCTGACCTTGTGATCTGCCTGCCTTGGCCTCCCAAAGTGTGGGATTACAGGCATGAGCCACTGCACCTGGCAAGTTCATGTTTTTCATTCAGGGCTACCTTCAAGCACAATTCATATAATGTTCAAGATACAAATACACATAAATGTTGTGCTCCATGTCCAAAACGCCAAAATAGGTAGAGAAAAAAGAAAGAAAAAGTGTATCTCTCAAAGCATAATTGCTATTTAGATAACTTAAGAAAACTCTTCTAAGTAATGCTAAATATCTTCTCTACTATTTTCTTCAATTCACAATTACTGCACCACATACAAAGTTTCTTCTTTTAAACAGAGAAATTTCTCTTTATTTGCCCAAACATTAAAAAGTTAAGGAATTATTTTTAGACTACTTTTTTTGGTAGAACACACACACCACCCAGTGGAAAAGGCATAAAATACAGTTTACATTTTCATGTGTGTTTTTCAATGACAAAAAGTGGATATTACCAAAACATTGCAAATTCTGTTAGTCAAACAAAAGCAGTAAATCTCACTTCATCTTAATATTGTTTGGCATTCTAAGGATGCATCTTATCTGTTTAAAAATAAACTTTCTGTAGAATCCAATCTCTTCCAGAGTATCTATCTGTTGAATGTTGTTTCTCACTAATACCACCTCACTGGGTCTCTTCTGCTTGTAAATTTGTATGTCTTGCCTCTTTTCAAAGAAAATAAATACAATCCTTTACTGCCTTATCTATTTTCTTTAACTTTGCAGTGCAACTCCTTAAGTGAGTACACTGTGCAAACTACCTTTTTCCTTTCTGAAATTTGGCTTTGTACACATAGCAATCCACTAAAATAGCTCTATACATTTAAAGATACATTCAATCGCTTTCTTCTCAATTTTCATTCCCATTGACATGGCAATTAAAATCATTCTCATTAGAATTATATTTCTCACTTTGGTCCCCTAATTAGGTCTCTGAGGCACAACCTACAGACATTTCTTGGTGTCAGCTGTTTTCAAATAAAGCTCTCTATAGCCTAAAGCAGGGATATAATTCCAAAAGAATCTGATTCCTTTAGCTTCTGGTTCCTCAGCTAATGTATGTCTGCTACTCACATTAAGTGCTTGCTGCCTAACACTGAATGGTCCCTCCACCCATGCAAGAATAACTTCCCAACAAATTAAGAAATATTAGTGTCTCCTCCCTCCAAAATATACACACACGCCCACATAACCACACACACACACACACACACACACACACACACACACACACACAAAATAGGAAATCAAAAGGTGAGAGGAAAGAAGAGGGCATGATAGTCACTGCTGGAAAATGGAACCAAAGTAAATTAGCATAGAAAACCTAGTAATCCAATAAAAATAGAGTTGTTAATTCTATATGTAATCTATAGTGATACTAACCCTTTGGATACTCCAGCTCTGTCATTTACAATCTTCACTTCTTTCACAGACCCATACTGGGAAAAAAATTTTCTTAAATCACTTTCATTTGTCTAATGGCATAAAAAGAAAAAACATTTTTTAGTTGATAAAAGATGAATAATTCTTATGCTTGCTCTGGAGACAGAAAGTTATAGATAAGATGCATGAAAAATGCCTCCCATCATCAAAACAGTGCATAAACCACTAGGTGATTAAAATAAATGTAAATACCTTGCTTTATGCAATAGCTATGTTGTTAAATTAGTATATGTCAATAAAAAATTTAAGCTGAATTATTTTAAAACCATAATGCTCACTGTTTAAATAAATCTTTAAATGATTCTTGTTCTCTAGCTGGCCAGTTTTTAAAAAACCAATTTGTATTAGGAATGCTATTTCCATAGTAAGGGCATATTACTGTTGGCTCTTGTGGCTCAGAGAAGCTGACAGTCATGGCAGTGGAAGTAGGTTGTGTTGGCCTACACCAGTCATTCTATTTTAATCGGTAGTCAGAAACTCCTTTCCTAAGTCAGGTTTTAGGAAAGGAATGTATTTCCAAAAGTGCTTGAACTCAACTGTGAGAACAACAGAATGCCTGTAAGATTTAAAGTTATTAGATTCCTTATCTGTACTCAATATGTATTTCAGCTAAATTCAGACATTGTTTTGATATTAAAAATAAAAATTGGAATCATAAGTAGATTTAAAACATACAGGGTATCTACAAAGATGGTTTTGGCATATCTGGATTTTTAATTGAAATAGTTGACTCACGTCACCTTTTCCCAGAATACTGACACTAAATTCACTGCAATTTCATTTTCTGGCTTAGCTGCTACTGTTTGTCTCCAAGAGTAACTTTTCTTTAGAAAAAAATTTCTTTATATACACTGGAAAAAAACATGCCCTAGAGCAGAGCTATGCCTTTTGAGTTCAACTACTACCTCACTACTTACATACCCTACTGGTTTTTAGTTGGTAACATAAAGCCTGCTAAGCTGGATAATGACAAATACTGATTTAATCTAAGAAGAATTAGATACCTTTTATTTCAGTTAACAGAAAATGAAATCAATGCCAGAATAAGGATTGTTATTAGATATTTGAGTACAAATTAATTCCAGCTATTCTCTGGTAGAATAATCACTAGCTCAATTTGGTAGCTCCACTTCTTCAGTGACAATGGGATAGTCAAGAAAAATAAGCATTAAGAGGGATAGTCAGTTTGCTTCTAAAAATGAGGGGTTAAAACGTCTGTGACTACTTGCTATTAAACTATTTACTTGCTGGCCTTTACCTGTGGTTTTGAAAAAGGTGTAAGTATAGAGGAGGGAGCCCTAGCAGTTACCCTAAAGCTATGGCTTCATTATAACACCGTCTCCAAAGTTCATGCTGTAGCTGATGGGCTCCAGTAACCTAAAATAACCTGGCCATATGAATGTTTATATTTATTGATAACTTATTTTTAAAAACATGCTATGCTATTGTAATATAAATGAATTCTCAAATTGAATATTTCTGCCAGCCATCAGTATTTTCCACAGATACAGAAAATCTTAAGAATAAACATTTTATAAGAAACAATTTTTCTTACTTTATTTTTAGTGAAACAACCATACACTTGTTTAAGACTCATTGTTTTGGCAAATACACTAAATGTGACATTTCTCTTGTGCAGGAAAAAAGAAATTTCACCCAAATTTTAACGGATTGATTATATGGAAATAGTGAGTTATAAATGTCAAATGTCACACCTAATGGCACAAGGGAGGTTTCTTTTTTTGTTAAAAAAGATAACTCTCCCTATAATTTCTAACATGTAAAATAGAAGCTTGGAAATCCTTCTATACATTCATTTGAAAGTAAGAGTATTCCACTTAAAATATCAATGCATGCCTTTCTTGTAGGTGTTTACTATTACCTCCCATATGCAGGGGCGGGGCGTGCTGCACATCTCATGAACTATGCTTCCTCGAAAGAGAGGAATGGCTGATTACATGACATAAATATATTACTTTTTAAAAAACTTTCACTTTAGGTTCAGGATACATGTGCAGATTTGCTATAAAGATAAACTTGCTATGGGGGTTTGTTGTACAGATTATTTTAGCACCCAGGTACTAAGTCTGATACCTAATAGTTATTTTCTCTGCTTAAATGTATTACCTTTTTTTTTTTTTTTTTTTTTTTTTTTTTTTTTTG